TTGCAAGGGTAAAAGAAAACGGTTGACCCTATAAGTTTTTCTTGCCCATTATCATTATTTGCAAAGTTGCTGCTTCAGAAACGGAACAATGGGACGTGGAAATTAAAGGAGAAATTGAAGCAAATTTTATAAAATTTTCCTTAGAACCGAACACAAAATTACGTCACCGTACGGTTAATTGAACCAAAATCTAAAGTATCTCCTGTTAAAAAGCTGAGGATATACAGACCGGAACTTAACTGCAGTCAGTGGAGTAAGGATGTTTCAAAATTTTAAGACCAACTATATGAAACGCAAACACCTGTGTATTACTGGTCAGATTCTTCAACAGCACTATCGTGGATAAAACGAGAGGACCATTGGAAACTTTATTTGGAATAGTGTTGAAGAAATTAGACGTTTCTCCTGCCCTAAAAATTTGTATCACGTTCCTGGTGACATGAATTCAGCAGATCTTCCATTAAGAGGCTGTTCCCTAAAATTTTAGCTGATGGAAGATGGTGGGAGGGTCCCCTGTGGCTATACCAAATCAAAACTTTGAGCATGACGAAGAAGAAGTGAACCAAGAAAAAAGATAAATGGGCGGATCATCTCTTTCTGTGGAACAAGCCGTTCCTGGTATTATATAAATATTTTTAGAAGTTTATAAAATGTCCAGTGGGATGGATTAGGCGATTTACTAACAGTATAAAAAATCCAAGAAAATGTAACTATGGAACGTTTCTAAATGTTGAAGAACGTGGCTCAAAAACGATAGCCCGTTTAATATAAGAATGATTTAATTGAATATCCAAAGCTATCATTATTGTGCCCTTTTATGATGAAAAAAGATTAATTAGACTACGCACTAATATTTCTGACAGGAGAGATGCTAAAGATTTTTGTATGCCTTATATACAAGCATGAAATTGTTAAACGTTTGATTTTTGAGGAACTTGTTCAGAAAGGACATACTCAAATCTCGGAAAACCATACTAATTGTTGTATACATATGGAATATCTGTAACAAATTTCGAGGTAAAGTAGGTACTAGATACGCCTGTCATATGTTTGCCAGATCGCTCGATTCCAACCCCTACAGAAGTAACTGTCTCACAGTTAGAGCTGGGCAGTATTCGATTTTGTAAATACTTTTTAGTATTCAAATCCTTTAAAGTATTCAAATACTTTGTAATTAAATACTTTTATGGAAGCAGTATTTGTATTTGTAACTCAAATACTTTCACAAATATTTAGTATTCGAATACTTCGCAAAGTATTTGAATTTGGATACTTCGTAAAGTACCTATTCGAATACTTCGCAAGGTATTTGAATACTTTGAGAAGTATACTAATCGACTGCACCAAAATTTCTCGGGAAAACACTTTTTCTTATTAATTTTGGTGCGTAGAATCCAAAACAATTCGTACTTTTTCGATCAGACTTCTCAATCAAAAGTTATAGATTAGAAACCAATTTCGAAAGAAAATTCAAAGGGCTGTAACTTTTGAAATAGTAGCCCAATCTTGGAACTGTTTGAAATTATGGATTCTACAGACCACATTCTATAAGAAAATGTTTTTTTCCGGTCGATCTGAGATAATTTTTTTTGGCCTCAAAAAAAGGCAGTGTATAACCTTCCTTTTTTACGAAAAATCGTCTACACCAAAATTTCTCGGGACTTTTTCTTATTAATTTTGGTGCGTAAAATCCAAAACAATTCGTACGTTTTCGATTAGACCTCTCAATAAAAAGTTATGGACAAAAAACTAATTTCGAAAAAAAATGCAAAGGGCTGTAACTTTTTATCTAGTAGCCCAATCTTCAAACTGTTTGTAATTATGGATTCTACGGGCCAAATTCTATAAGAAAATGTTTTTTCCCGGTCGATCTCAGACAATTTTTTTTCCGGCCTCAAAAAAAGGCAGTACTTTTGTTATTCAAATATTTGAGAACAATTTAGAAATGCTTAGGGAGTTTCCATTGTCACAAAATCAAATATAAAAATCCGATACATCTGAATACCGAACTCGATAGTCTAGTAACTTAATTTATATCCTTAAGACCAACCAAGGCGTACGCATCATGTGCACGACGTACGATCGCTTTGAAAACTGGTACACGTATTCTTAAGCATATAACTGGTATAAGAAAGGTCCTGGTAGGTACCTCCTATATAATAATATAATAATAATAACTTTTTTTCACTACTAGCGTCTGATGACATGATTATTAACCTTTTTTCCACTTGTAAAGTAGGCTTTCTCGGCATTTGTTCAAAGTGGTTAGTAATTTTGTATTATTAACTAGTAGTCAATAATGAGAACTGTCACGCTGTCACTTTTAGAAAACACAACCCGAAATTTCGCTCAATGAACGTTTAGACAAGTTCTCTAAAACGAATAATTGCCACCATTCGCAATTTCCAGAGAAATTACATACCTAAAATTATCACATTTTGAAAAAATTCGAACGAAATTAATCTTTGAAAAATCTCAATGACAGAACAAAATACGGCCTGTTTGACTTGTACTTCCACGTACTTGATTGACATGTTAAATTAAGAAACAAACAATTCTGTCCAACCGTTAACTCTCTTATCAATATATATGTTAATTTAGAGGATTTAAAGTGCTAGTAGTGAAAAAAATAGTATATATACCACGGTAGAGAAGTCTATTATTGCCTTCGCACCTTACACCCCCCGGCGCAAGCGCCTCGAGATGTAATCTTGGTGCTCAGGCAATAATAGTGGACTTCTCTACCTTGATATATAATGTACTATTACTCCCCTTAAATTTGTATATAACAATAGAAATATAAAAAAAGCTAACCCCATACAAAGTATAACTTGATTTTTTAAGTAGTATTAAGCCTTTTATCTAGTATACTATTTTAAATTTTTAATGTATTTGAGTGACAACTATTTGAATCCTTTTTGCTGTATTGGAATACTTTTTATAGCATTCGAATACCTTTGATAGTATTAGAATGCTTTTGAAAGTATTCGAATACATTCTAAAGTATTTGAATACTTATTTTTTTAAGTATTTGAATACTTTTCAATGTATCTGTATCTAGTATTCGCTTGTGCTGGACGTAAAAGTATTTAGTATTCAAATACCTTTGATTTGTGTAAAGTATTTACTATTTAGTATTCAAATACTTTTTGAAAGTATTCTACCCAGCTCTGCTCACAGTGAATCTCGTAATAGTCCACTAATCGGTAAAGTGGCGGGAGAGACCACAGCCAACGTTTCTCAATACATAGTAACAAATCAAGCGACGCCCGTTTGAAAATATTAAATGAGGAATTCAAGCATGTTACAGTATTGAAGAGCAGAAAATTCATTCACATCCCGTCAGTTTCTCACATTACAATTCACCTTCGTAAGCTTTCTTTTCGTTCATAGAATGCGTTATGCTCAATTTTTATAGAAAGGAAACCTTAAAGGGAAAATCAAAACATTATCAAAAAATCGATTTTTAATTTCAGATGTATATAGGTACAATGTTAAGAGTTATCTAAGTTCTTAGGTTACATTTTGTTGTTATTGATGCTTACTCAAGGTGTTTCTCATTTCATCAGCTTTGGCCTGAAACCAACAATCTAACCTAACTGTTTTTATTTACGGCTGTAGAAATGTTTCTATATGGTGTCATAGTGCTTTCGTTCTTTAGGTAGGTATTTCCACACTACTTGAAACTTGGCTGTGGCCCGGTTGTACAATGTCAGGTTAAACTTCAGGTTGGTTTAACTGAGGGATTTCAGAAATACGATTGGCCAACTTGTGAAATATTAGCCAATCAAATCCTTTAACCCACAATTCAACTACAAACTGAAGTTTAAACTGATATTGCACAACCGGGCCTGTATCATTATCGAAAAGTAAGTAGCGTAGCAGTGAAACTACTTAGACTTTGGCTACTAGCAATAATAATCATTTTTCATTAAAATTACTTTCAGTCAAAACCTACTATTAATCGCTCGATAGACTGGGCAATTTCGAAAAAAGTTGGCACCAGGTAAAAACATAGTAAATAAATAGTAGTGGCTTATTGGTTATGGGATGAATTTATTTTGAGATACCCTTGTGTAAGTAAGGGCGAACACTTGATTATTTTCAAACAGTTCCCGATTTACATCTCTGAGGTTAGCAGTCACGCTCTAACTATAGATTAATGTGACTCAGAAATCCGAATTGTTTTTCGTGCAGCCAACTTTGATTAGATTGTTACTATGATCCAACTTAAATTAAATATAGAGTAGGTTGATACACTTTAAAGCTTACTTGAGTAATGGTTTTTTGCACATCTGTTTCGCCAAATATTCCAATACTGGGTGATTTAAAAATATGATGAAACTTGGCTCATAACATACGCGCTGCTGTGTGTTTCTGTAAAACGTAAACGTTGAAAGGGCAAAGACACTTATGAGAAACTTCGCATTGTGAATGTCCAGAAGTGCAAAAAACAGTTTTTTTCGTATTTATAGATTCTGCTAACTGTTAAAAAAATTTTAAGACGTCTACGTAAAATACTTTTCAAACTGTCATTTAGGAAATTAAAATAAGGGGACGACTTTTCTAAGTATAGAATTACAGTATATTTACTATAATTGTCACAAAGAATTCTTAAAATAAACTAGAAGTAAATAATTGTTGAGGCTCTGATACTAGGGACGATCTTTCTACTGAGCACGAATATTCTTGCATTAAACATATCATACCACTGAAAAAAATGGAAATTTCTAGTTCGCGATTCTTAGAAGAACTTATAAATTGATTTTGGCAAACTGAAATGATAAACAAATTTTACTTACTTCATTGGAAATGCAACCCATTTATACTTCGTGGTACGAATACTCAAGAAAATACACAAGTAACGGAACAAATAAAAAAAGTAACAATCAAAGAACTGCAAAATTATTTAAAGGGGGAGCCTAACTATTAGGGTGGCGGGATGTGAATTTGATCGCGATCATTACGTTAACTTAAAATCCAGTGAAAAGATCCCCATTTTCATAATAAGTAACACACCAAATGTACAAAGTGAAGCAATAATAATGTGACGCAACTAAGACACTACTAAAAAAAAAACCGTAGACACCCAACCCCCAAACTATTTTTTTTGTCATGCAACATCTACAATTACATTCCTTATGGAACAACTACCAATCAACGATTTTTAGTTCTCTATATACGGTACCATAGTGATCAATATCAAACAGAAAGCTTTTGAAATACATTCCCCTGTAATTCAATTTGTACTGGCCATCAGGTATTCCTGGAGGTAACTTACTTGCAAGTGTTCTCCAATTGCAGAGATGATAAGGGAAATTCTGAAACCAATTAATAATTAATTAAGGTTCTTCGATATGTAAAATTACCTTTCGTAATGGACAAGTGTGTACGTTACCACATTCATGATTACTTAAACCCATAATGCGATTTTCAAGAAAGTCACAATATGATATTTGAAAACGTAAGGGAAATATGCGATATTCGTTAGACAAAAACAGGTATGCTTGAGTTGTAACCTAAGAAAAACGTTAAATGTCCGATTCTTTTAAATAATACAGTACCCCTACATAGATCTCTTTATCGGCTACATCGAACTTTGGAGACACGGAGACATTTGTGGCAAAATCTGTACGGTTAAATTTGAATGTTGATACTCTAAGATAATTTAATAATGTCTGGTTATAGTCCTTCAAGGCGAAACGTTCCTTTTTTATTTTGTACTCATTCTGGTTGAACTGAAATGGATGGTAAGCAACAACTTCTGTCTTAAATGTCGGTACATACTTTAGAAAAGAAATCGACGTCTGATGCGATCCCAGTGGTAGTCAATCCAACTATCAATAGTAAATGGTTCATGACTGAAACATAGTAAGAAAATGGAAATTTAACTTGGAAGTGATACGAATGGTCCAATTTAAAAAAAGAACTGCTAAAAGCTTAACGAACCTATTTTGCAGTCTTCTCTATATCGCACTATTTTACTAAATGTCTCTTCTGACCGCTACACACACACGCTACAGTACACTTTTTGTTTTTACCGGTATGCAGAAATATGATAAACAATATGATTGTTCGCATGCTATCACATGTAGATCCGTTAAATTAGTTTTTAATGTAAAAATAATTATGCATAGATACTAAATCAAAGGACGTAGCCTCGGACGTAGCTTTTCGTTCTAGTCCGAGAGTTGGTGGACATTTTTGGGTAGGTATTTGAGGCACGCTGAAAACTTGTCCAATACTTCTTCAATAATACCCAAACATAGAATTTATTTATTTATTGTTCCTCTCTTGCTCTGGGCCCTCAATAGGCGTTCGCCCAATTACAGAGTGACCCGCTAAATGCTTTTTAGATCTTAAGTTGTTCTATACTACTTCGGTATTTACCTTACGAATTAAGAAAACCGCAGGGAAACCTAATTCGGAGTAGCCGGCAGAATGCTCGAAACAGTGTTTTAGCGTATGCCTGCATATGTCTGAAATTGATTCACAAATCAATGACGCAGTGCCACAGACTCCCCAAAAATGATACCAGCTCTCCTACCATTCTTAAAAATTTACAAAATGTTAAATGCTCGCTTAGAGACTACTTGCCAATTTATAATGATTTTGTAAAGTAACAATTCCGTTACAAGAATCCAAACATTACATTAAACGATCGTAAAATAATTCTGATTGGTATATTTTATGCAGGGCGTGCTATAGGTACAGGCTGATTCGAATTCGAGGGCCCCCACAGAGATCTCTGAAATTGTAAGAGATCGGTGGGTAGTTTAAATTTGGCAAAGTTGCGTATTTTGATGCTTAACAAAATGCCGTTGTGAAAGTGAAAAAAATGGCTTCTATAAGAAAAAAACAACGCTGATGATGGTTAAGCGGAAAAGAAACGTCAGATTTAAAATTTAAAATTAGCATCTTGTAACTATCATTTCTGATTGCATTCTGGCCCTCTAGATCTCCACTACATTCTCCTCCGCTTAAATAACATAATCCTGGAGGTAGACTGGCGGTCTACGCTCTCGAATTGAACGACGCAGTATGGGAGAAGATGGTGCTTCTTCTTCTGGAGCGGTTACTTCTGCTTCTGGAAGTTCTAGGTTAATGTGAACTGGTTCGTGCGACGAAACTGAAAATCGAGTGTATTGGTTATGATTTTGTTGAGTTTCTAACTCAGGATGATCTTCGGCGTTTTTCGGTTGATCAGCGAAGGAAACTCGTGTAATTGATTTATGTGACGTTTCAGCGTTCGTCTTTCATCCAAAACGAAGATGAGGTTACCTAATTTCTTCACCACTTTTCCTGGTTTCGGAATTCGGTATGCTTTGATTGTAGTCATTGCATTGTAATCCAAGTATCTGTTATCCATCTTATAAATTGTGCTCTTAAAAATAAATTAGCAACAGAGATTTCTCTGTCGCATTCGCACTTCATTCGACATTAGCAGGATTCGAGGCCTTTCCGTAGATCGACTACGTTTTTGCCAATTGTTTGGTTTGCTCCTTGCACGGTACATAGAGAAAAATGCTGCGACACAACATATTCTTCTCCGGCGATAAATGTTACTAACCCTTCATAAGACAGGTCAGGTGGTTATCTAGGAGCGACTAATGCATTATGAACCCCATAGTAAACAGCTCCAATAGATCGGCAAGGGCAGCTTGTTTGCATTTTTTTTTGTACCCGTAAATTTCCCTCAGTCTAAGGTAATTTTCAAAACGCTCGTGGTATACCCAAAAGTCTTCCTTTTTCTAATCGAATATTTCGAAAGAATGAAAGATGTAAAGTGCATTGCGGTGCTTGAACACCAGGGCTGCCGTTAATTTCGGTTCGATAATTGATAATAAACGCTCAAATTGTTTGACAGGTAACATGGTGAATTAATACACTATATATCCAATTATCCACACACGTTCAAATGCAATAGAATCAATCTTCATTTGCACACGATTTGCGATAAGAAAAGTAAAAGGAAGAAGACTCGCTAAAAAAAATTTACTAACGAAAGTTGCCTCCAGAATATTCGCCCCTCTCTCTTCCATAAGCAACTTGCTAGGATAATTTGATTCCGGCGAAGTTTGCGGAGGCCTGTATTCCAGGGGTGAATTTTGCGATTATCAATTTTTCTGCGAGAGATTGACCGACAAGTAAGACAACAGAACTGAGTGATGTTTATGGTGCAGAATGTGTTTTACACTTAGTATAATAATTAATACCAGTGAAAGTTTCAATAAAATGTAGGAGTAGGTACCATGAACAATATGAATCATAGTAAACGCTTTCCTACCAAAGTTCGTGGTTCTGTGACAGGTATAATAGTTATTTATGTATCAAGGGCATTAAGGCGATATTTATGCCGAGAGCGACAGAGCTTAAGGGCCTCTGACTCGAGGGATTGTTAGTCGCCCGAGGGTTGAATATCGAGTAATGCCTGAGGTCCATACAAAATTTTATTTTTCATTTGCCTATTATATGCCAATTATATCGCCTTAATGCCCTTGATACATAAATAACTATTATTTTTCATACTTCCAAATAATGTATTTCCAATATAGGTACAAATGTAATGAATAATTGGCATATAATAGGCAAATGAAAAATAAAATATGTATAAGACAATAAGTATCACGGAAAATTCATTTTAATCTCAGACTCTCTTAGTGCAATAACGAGCTTACAAAAACTATATTCAAATTAATAAAAAGTTAATAAAATCATTCTTCTCGCACTTCAAGCACCACTTCTGAAGCTCATATACAATAAACACTACAATATATTCATTATAATTACCCCTAAAATTAGTAAGAAAATACGCGATTAACTTCAAAACCTGGCGTATTTAGCAAATTAACTTTCTCCTTACGTTTTTTTGGTGGATTTTCCTCGAGGCGTGCTAAAGGACCAATGTCAAAAAATGGAAACAGTACACGCACGTCCTGTTTAGCAAAGGCAAGCATTAGACGAAGGCATCTTAACATTGTACGCGTTAAGAATAATAAGAATTAATTAAATTGCTGCATTCCGATTAGTAGAAATGTGTAGCATTCCATTTAAAAACGTAGGACGATGAGCGTAAATTGAAAAGAGACGTAACTACTACATTTGCAAGGACTAAAAGTATAAAACGGGAAAATAGCAGACTGCTTGGCGATGTATACGATCAACTTTCCTGCAAAGCAAGATGCTCTTTAAAAGTATGTTGCGGATGCGTTAAGGATACGAATTTAACTTTGGGGAATTTTCTTAAGGGGTTAACGGGAACGGGAGGGGAAATAGATGTGAATGAAACTCGCAGACAATTAATGATAGGGATTCTAAATCACTTGTTTTGACTTTATGTATCGTTTAGTGGTTATTTTTGGGATTTCAACAAAAATTCGTGCCAAGTATTTTTAATTAAAATCTTCTTTCTCCCTGAAAATGCGGCTGCATGGGGCGAGACGTGCGATATTAAAAACATAATTGACTGTGTTATATTTTAATACCAACTTATAAAAATTAAATTGCGATATTGGACGGCGTGAAAAAATTACGGTTTAGTCGAAGTTCGTAGGTCAACGCTCGAAATAGTTTCTGAGTTTCGAGATGTTCCTTCAAGAGAAGAAGAAAAACAAAAAGCGCTTTGACGGAATGTTTTAAAATTCTGAGTTTCTCCCAAATGTTGAAAACAGTTCTTTTAGGTGGCCCTCAGCACAAACTGCGTAAAAACCATTTTTTTGGGAAATGAATTCTGTTGTGGTCGTTGTTTGTGCTTACGATGCAAGGGATTTACCCTGTTTCGGAAAAATTATAACCAATATCAAACATACGTAGTTTTTCGCGAGTAAAGATATATAGTAATAATCTATAATAACGAAAATCATGCTATAAATGAAATAAAGAGTACCCGAAAGTTCTTTCTGACTAGTATTTCTAGTTTAATGGGGACGGTATCAAAAAGATTCTATAGGAGGAGAATTATTAATCAAAAAAATTCCTACGCAGATTTTCAAAATTCAAAATTTCCGATAAAAGATCTACTGAAGATTTTAAAAATAATGTGGAAGGAAGTTTGGAAAACTATTTATCTGCACCGTTAAAAAGGTAAGAATTCAAATATGTCTGATACATAAAGATCTCTTAATATAAACAAGCAAGAATATCAAACCTCTTCACTCAGAGTGTTAGAAATTACCAGGGGGGTAGCCACTCCCGAAATCACTGTACATATATTTGCCCCGAAATGACGCCGCAATCCCCCGAAATCCTCCGAAATCTAGCCGAATTCCTCGCAATCCTGCCGAATTCAAGGAAATCACTCCGATTTCCTAGAAATCTCAGCGAAATCTCGCCGAAATCCCCGCAATCCTGCCGAATTCAAGATGTACAACGAGGAAAAAGAATAGATTCCCAAACCATTGGAAGCAAGGTGAGCTAGTGTTAATTCCCAAACCGAAGAAGCAGAACGACGAACGAACAAACTATAGGCCAATCTGCCTATTCGACATACTAGGAAGGGTATATGAGACAATTCTAAATGAGAGGCCAGTTTCGAATATAAAAAAGGGCAGGAGATATAAGCCCCACGCAGGTAGGTTAACCATTGCTGCAATCGACAGGGAATGAAAGATACTGAGCAATGGTCCTATTGGATGTCCCGGATGCTTTTAACGTAGCGGATTGGGGACTTGTCCGGAAGTTAATAGAGAAAATAAGACCTGCTGAATGTATTAGAGGATTATTTACGTAAAAGGACAATTAAAATTAAAAAATACACAACAAGGGAGTTCCACAGGGGTCAGACCTTGGACCGACCCTGTGGAAGATATTATATAACGATGTTATGAGGGTATCCGTTTCAAAGGGGACAGAAATCGTGTGTTAGGCGTAATAAGTGTTGAAAAACCCAACGAAATAGTAAATGTCACTTTGCATGCAGTCAATGATCAATGACTGGATGAAGGCAAGCAAGATTATCGATGAAGGAGGGGGGGGGGCACGTAAGAGAGGCAACAAACAGAGAACAGTTAACGGAGAAGCTCAGTACACCCCTACCAAAAGTAGAACGACCAACTCATGCAGTCCGTTATCATGTATGGAGCCCAAATCTGGGCGGAGGCGATGAGGATCAACAAATACAGAAACATATGGATATGGAGGCAACTCGACCGCCTATTTTTTCTAAGAAAGGTCTAATCTACGTAAGCGCGCA